TGGCTGGGCACCCCACTCCAGCTGCACCCCAAGACAGAAGGGACCTGCACCCCAAACCAGCAACGCACCCCAAACCAACTGCACCCTGAACCAGAAGGGTCCTACACTCCAAACTGGCTGCACCCCAAACCAGGAGAGACCTACACCCTGAACCAGCTGTGCACCCCAAACCAGCTGTCTCCTGAACTGGGGGTACCTACACCCTGAACCAGCCATGCACCCCAGAATGGCTGCACTCTGAACCAGGAGACCTGCACCCCAAACTGTGCACCCCAAACTTCTTATACCTTGAGCCAGCTGCACCCTAAACCAGGAGGGACCTGCACCCCAAAGCATCTGTGCACCCTAAACCAGGAGGGACCTGCACCCCAAAGCATCTGTGCACCCTGAACCAGGAGGGACCTGCACCCCAAAGCACCCGCGTGCCCGCTCCAGCTGCATCGGGGCGCGATGGATAACGCTTTGCCGCTGGAAGTGGAGCTGGAGCACCAGTGGCTACTCAACACCTCCCTGAACGAGTCCTTCACGAACCAGTTCGTGCAGCCCCCGTGGCAGGTGGCCCTGTGGGCTGTCGCCTACGCCCTCATCGTAGTGGTGTCGGTGGTAGGTAACGTGGTGGTGATGTGGATCATCCTGGCTCACAAGAGGATGCGTACGGTCACCAACTACTTCTTGGTGAACCTGGCTTTTGCCGAAGCCTCCATGTCCGCTTTCAACACGGTGGTGAACTTCACCTACGCCATCCACAACGAGTGGTACTACGGGCTGCTCTACTGCAAGTTTCACAACTTCTTCCCCATCGCCGCTGTCTTCGCCAGCATCTACTCCATGACGGCCATCGCCCTGGACAGGTGAGCTCTGAGCATCAAACCCCAAACCCTCCCCGGCACCCAGGGCTGTGCTGTGCTCAGCTCCAGCCGATCTCCAGTCATGGGAGAACGTTGCAATTTAAACTCCTTTTGGTAAAAGAGCACTAAAAATAATCCCCCTCCGCACCACGGTTGCAGGTGGATTTGGGAATTCTTTGTCAGCTCTGCGAAAGGAGCTCGAGAAAAGGCTTTGTAACCTCCGTGCATGTGGGTGGCGTGTCTTGGGCGTGCGTTTGTAGCATCGCTGTCCTCTTCCTCCCCAGCCTCTCTGCAGAACCATCCACTCCTTTCCCAACCTCCTCATTTAAAAGCGAACTCGATATTTAGCACAAAATGGCATCACCTCATGACATAAAATACATGCCCGTGTTGGCTGTGCCTCCGCGGTGCTGCAGGAGCTCTTTCCTGTCTCTTGATCTGGGTTGGGAACCATCTAAGGAGCCTCAGAGAGAAGCTCCAGCTCAGGAAAGGCATCTTGACTTGGTGGGTGTGTGGTTGTGTTGCGTGTCCCCCAAAGAAAACCCAGCTTGATTTGATTAGTGGGGTCGAGGGGGAGAAGTAGGTGCCAGAGATTTCTCTCGTTTGGCTGCAGCCAGCACAGTTTAGGGATTTAGAACAAGGATTTAGGGATAGATCCTGGTCTAGTGGAAGGTGTCCCTGCTGATGGCAGGGGGGTTGGAACTGGATGAGTTTATTTAAGGTCCCTTCCAACCCAAACCAGTGTGGGATTCTGTGATTTTTTTACTGCCTGGTTTCTGATGGCTGGGGACTGCCAGAGGAGCGAGACCCCGTTTGTGTTTTGCCATGATCAAAAGTTCAGCCAGCGCTCAGCGGAGCGCGGTGCCACGGGGGACGCTGCCTTTTGCACCGCAGAGGGATGAGCCGGGGGTCAAGGGACACAAAACAACCACGCACCAAGTACCTCCAGCACACAGCTCCCCTCCCTGCTCTCCCCCTCCAAGAAATCTTTCATTTAATGACATTTTCACACCGGCACTAGAGATAAATCGAGGCTCTCACACAGCTTTGCAATTCCCTCTCACTTACCGGCGGTTCGAAACGCAACAGATTTTTCCAACGCAACAGATTTCCCGAAGACAGCTCGGCTCTGCAACGCCTCTTTCTGGTCCTTCTTCCCAGGGAGTAAAAAGACATTTTGGCTGGGGATAAATGCGAAGGGAGGGGAGGAAGGGGGGAGATATTTGCATCGCCGTATGCCAGCACATTTTGAGCTGATGTCTAAGTGCTGCACAAACTGGCACGGATATTTCCTTACGAGAAATTACGGTGCTGCCACAACTCACGCGCTGACAGCTTGGGAAACGGAGCTGGAGATGGATGATGCTCTCCAAGTCCTTAAAAACAAGCTGGGGTTTTGTTTCACTCTGGAGTTGTTACAAGACTGACCCTCTCCCCAAAATAAATGGGACGTAGCCAAGCTCTCATACTGGAGAGGTGAGGAGAATTAAGGCAATAATATATAAAAAGAGGAATACTCCCAGCGTGGCTCTGTTCCTACCCAATAGTGGTGCTGGCTCTGTCTCAGGAGCATCTGCGGTTCGAGGATGTTGGGGATCAGCCAGCAAAGCCCCTTTTGGGTTCAAATGAATTAGAGGTGATTTTATTTTTTAAATAGTTGGGTTTTAGCCTTCAGTCCACACCCCAGAATAACCAGAAAAGCAAATCTGTCAGGGGAAGCTGTAAGAGTGTGTGTAAAATGGGGAGCAAAGGCAGACCTGGGAGCCTGGGGCTGAATTTTAAGGGGGAATTGGTATTTCCAGCTTTCTTCTTGCATCTGCAAACCCTTAACGGAGGCTTGGTTCTCCCATGGCTGGGCTGGAAAACCCACACGTGCAGCCAGGCAACAAGGACCCAAAAGAAGCTGCAGCCTCAGTGTGCAAAGATTTCTTGCACTGAGCTACCTGCTGCATTTCTTGGTCCCAAATTTCCAACGAGGTGGGAAATTGGGAAGGTGAAGGCAGTGAAGCTCATCCTCTGCCCTTCCAGGCAGGCAGCGCACAAAACCAGCTCCAAGCGCTGGGAAATTGCTTGTTTTCCTGCCTCCGAGACCTGACAATAGTAACTTAAATGCATAAAATGCAGGAACTTGTTCCAGGAACCCAAAAGGGAAGAATTTGTCCTGGCAAGCAGCAAAAAGCTGTGCAGGAAGAAGGAAAGCAAGTACCTGAATTTGGAGCAGCAGAGCTGGGTAGGCTCAGCAAAACGGGTTATATTCACAACTGGGACGGATCTGAAATCAAACGTGACTGCAGTTCTGGTTTTCATCAAAAAATAGGAAAGCAGAATTGAATGTGTCTCCTGTTCCTAAAGTGTATTAAGCCATCTATCAGAGCGGCTGGGAACGGAGTCTGAGGGCTCGGAGGAGTGTCAGCCTGCAGATTGCTCCTCTAAATCACCTCCGCTTGTGCTTTCTGCAAACCATTTCCAGCACGTCCTCGCCGGAGGACACGAAACCAGCTCGGAAAGACCCAGCAACAGAGTCGTTGAGAGAACAAGTGGGGAAGTGGGTCTGATTCTCCCAACGGCTTTTTTTTTTTGGTTGGTTGGGGGTTTTTTTGTTGTTTTTTTGCAGAACCCACCATGGGTTTGTGCAAGAAAAAGAAGGTTTTGCTTGAAGCCAGACCATCTGCTCCTTCACCAGGATCTATTTCAGCCTGGGCACAACAGCTCTAAAAAAATTAAAAGTTAGTCCTATAACAAGTGCTATTCTGAACCTTGCAACAATAGCAGGAAATTCAGGAGTCAAGGTTGGCAGCTGGTAAAGTCTGCTCAGGAAAAGCCATGATGCTGCTTCTCAGCATCCTGCAGAAGTAGGGGCCAAACAGCTCTCCTTGGCACTATAAAATCTGCCGTGCCCTTCTTCTTTGGGCATATCAGTGCCAGAGCACATCACACATCCCTTTCCGGTTTCAAATTTTCCTTGTGAATTAATTCACTCGAAAGAAAGAGACAGAAAATCCTGTTTTTTTCTAACATTCCAGGAAAAGTGAGAGCCCAGCAGCACCCATGACGAGTCCAAGCTCATTTGCAGCCCCACTTAGAGAAAAAAAAACCCCAAACTTCTGGACATTCCTAAATTGCAATAGCGATGGCACATGGGATGGAGCATCGTTAAACTGTTGATACTTTCTCTCTCCTTGGGACCTGGATTCATTTCTGAGCACCACCACTCGCCCACACTGACAGTGAAGTTCAGATGGAGGAATGAGTTTCTGTGATGACGAGCAACCGGGAATGCAGCTGAAGGTGGAGATCCTGGATTACTTGCAGAATCATTAAAAATAATAATAATAATGATCTCTAAACTCCAAACTTTAGGTGAGCTAAACCAAAACCACTGCAGACTGAACGAATCCTGGTGAGAAGGGTGAGAGCCCTGCCATGAACTCCGGGTGAAGACAGACTGTGCAGCACTTGGGCTGTGTAACACAAAGCAATTTCCATTTTTTTCTGCAAAGTGTCCTCTGCTCTAAAGCAGCTATAAAAATGACAAACGGTGGATGAACCTCCTGCACCTCCTCAAACAACCATTCAAAGAGCCCCCTCTCCGACCTCCACCAGCACCAACGCTGCCAGAGCAGCACGCAAGGCTGGCCAATCCAACTGGGATTTTCTTTATATTCCCTTTTTATTTCTTTCCAAATGGGTTATCAAATTATATTAAGTGTCTTAAGACCCATCGATTCATCAGCAGGAGCTGCAGGAGAAACATCAAATCTGCGAACCTTCCTTCACCACCGCAGCTCCTGAAATTGCAAGTCTGCAGCCGAGAGCAGTTAATATCTCCCCAACCTCATATTATTCGCAGTAGAAAAACTGGCTTGGAAAATTATTTACAGCTTGCAAGCTTGAACTCCCAGGTTGGACAAACCAGCTGAATATTAGGAACATATTTGCCAGCTCAGCAACCCCCAGGCCTTCCCTGAGAGGTGATTACTGAAGAAAGAAACCCTCTGGAGAGGACAAATTACATCAGCGCACAGACAGATTAATTAGTCATTTACACCCTAATACAGCACCAGGGTTTTGGGTTTTGTTGGGTTTTTTTTTTAATCTTGACTTAATGGACTTCTGGGCTTTACAGAGTAGGACTCTGATTTGCACCCGGCGCTGTGTAATCTTACTCTGTTGGGATGTAATTTGGAAGATGGAAGAGGGAAGCGAAAGGAGCCCAGGGTTTAGGGTCAGCAGCCCCTGCACGGCAAAAACTGAAGCAGGTTTTTTGCATTCCTGAAAAAATCAAGTGTCACTGAACACAACAAAGACCCTACAAAGCTGCTGGATACCCAGCACGGAGCTGGCTCAAACCCAGCTGGGGTTAGAAACCAAGGGGATGGGGATGGACCCCTTCGTAAGGAGTCACTCCTCAAGGCTGCTTTATGCTCCTGCTCCCAGCAGAAGTCTCTGATCTGAGTGGTATGAACTGGAATTGATCCCCCCCAACACACACTAGATACGAATTCAGCCTGTCAAAAAATCAATGACATTTTTTTTCTCTCCTTTCCTTTGGAAAAAAGAGGAGGCTTGAAATTCCCATGGCAATAAATATAGAACTAAGATGAATTAGCGACAGTTTGGTGGCTGGAGATGCAGGAGACTCTGGTTTTAGAGATGTTCTTGGGGTGATCACGGTGTTCATCTGCAAGCTGAGCGCTGCCACGAGCCACCGTAGGATTTTGAGGGCCTCTGATGAGATATTTGGTTTATCTGATGGCTTTCTTAATTTATTCCATCATTTATTCTTAATTCCTCAATGGCTGAGTGGGAACCACCCATGTACTAAGCATGCCAGGTCTCATGGGCCACCAGCCCTGCATTTCATATGATTTTTGTTCTCCTCCTCCACTCTTCAGCTATAAAGCAGCACCAGGATGAGCTGGTCGATAAGGTCATATAACTGCCTCGAATAACAGCATCTGCAGAGCCTCTCAGGGGGGCTGGGTTGTGCTTTGGGTCCAAAT